GCACCTCATATTGTGTCTGCATATGAAAGAGCAAGAAGGGGAATAAGTATCATAGATAGATAAAGGTTTTCTCAGAGGACCTCGAAACTAGGCCGGTGAGAGTAAAAGGGCCTTTACCCGATTCAGGGTCTGAATGATGAATTCAGCATTGAGGCATCCTTCGGCCAGAACCTAACTCGTGAAAAGCAAATCAAGAGGCATGTTCTCTGAATCAAAAGTCACATCCTAACTGAGTAAAAGTCAAATGTCAAAGGTCACAGTTGTGCCCCTGGACGAACAATTGCAACATTCAGATATGAGAGTCACATTTGTTCATCCAGGGGATGTGCAAGTCATGTCTGTTCATGCAAGAGATGTGTCTGTACGTGCAGTATGTGTGTCTGTTCGTGCAGTATGTATGTCTGTTCGTGCAGAATGTGTGTCTGTTCGAGCAGTAGGTGTGTCTGTCCAAAGGAAATCAAAAGGATAAAGTCCCAGACTCCCAGTCGCGTATTGAGTCAGAAGGAGAGTCTAGATACAGGCTCTAAGTCCAAAATTCAGGCCTGAAGGCCGCAGCAGCAGCAAACCCTGAAGGAAAAGGTACTGGGACACACTTCACAAAGGCTGGGACTGGGACAGGACTCGAGACAGGCTGGTTGAGTGAAGGGAACCAGCACAGAGATCTCGAGAGAAGAGTAAGAGAGAAGAGACAGGTCATGATGTTGGATATGGAAGATACTTACCTGTTGGCGCTACACTTGTGATCTGGGGCAGACGCTGGCTGAGCCAGGCCCTGTGTGTATGGTTGATAAGGGAGAAGGCTTTACTTTGTGGGCGCTAAACTCTTGAGTTTGAGATACTCTTGTTTAATGGGATTTGATAATATAAGCTGCGCTATCTGGTTCTTATCTCATCTTGTTTCAACTTGACTTTGTGTGTGTAAGACACTCAATCTGTGTATTTTGCGCATGCGAAAAGATACACTCCAGCAAGTTGTGGTCAGTCAGGACCCTTGCATTTCTTTTTTGGAATTCGAAAATAATTTTAATTAATTCTTTTTCAAAATTTTTGTAATTAAAAAATCTTCTAAAATTAATTAGATTCTTTTTCGACATTTCTTTTTCCGTAATTCTAAATACGTAGAATTAATTAATTCTTTTTCGACATTCCTTTGAAATTCAAAACTACTTTTCATTCATTCTTTTTCGAAAATTTTGAAAATACGTTAGAATTAATTATTTTTTTTTTTGATATTTCTTTTTTTTTGAAATTCAAAAATAATTTTACTTAATTCCTTTTCTTGTATATTTTAATAAATTTTCTTTCGAAATCGAACTTCGGGAATATTTTACTTAAATCATTTTGAAATTTCACGCTTTTCATACCCCAAAATTAATTTCGAATAAATTTAACCAGAATTTATTTTTTCGAAATTAATTATATTGTTTTCGACATTTTCACTATGTTGGGCCGTCACCCGGCCCGGCACGCCCGGGCCAGTTGGGCAGAGGGGGGGTCGCCTGGCAAAACCAGACGGGTAAAAAAAGAGGCAAGGATCCAAAAAAAAGAAAAAAAAGACTTCAGTCCAGGACTGCGCTTGGCCCAAGCAGTCAGAATCCGGTCTTAACTCCGGTTTTGGTGATGGGTCATCAAGGGGGGGTTGGGGGGTATAAACAGTGACTAAAGGGCTTGGAAGGGTACATTTGTAGTCTTTTGGGACTTAGGTTTTCTCATTTATTTTTATCTTGAAATTAACAAGGAATTTCGAGGTGGCCCTCAGCCAAAAGTCGTTTGTATTCCAATTTTGCACAACATATTTTTTTTTCGGATTTTTTTGAAATTTTTTTATTTTCTATTTTTTAGAATATTATGCGATGGGATCGCCTGGGACCTTGCCCGGGCCCTGCCCGGTCCGGGCCGCCCGGGAGGGTAGCCGGGCGACCTTCCCCCAGCCGGGCCGCTCGGGGACTAAGACAGCATTTTCAACATTTATTTCATTCCTGAAAATTTCGTGTTTCCAACTTTTCTCCCGCGAAATCCTTTTCGAGTTTTCGAATTAATCTCGAATAAATTACTCCAAATCGGGAAAAAATATTTTGAATTAATTCCCATTTTATGCATTTATTGTTTTGGCAAATACCTTTATTTATTTTTGAATAAATCAATTAATGTTGTAAATACCCTCCCCACCCCCACCCCCTGCCACTCCCAAATCTCCRCATGCCACGCCAAAGCAAGAACTCTCAGCACGCAACCGCCACCGCTGCTGCCGCCACGTCTGCCTCCTCCTCATCCGCAGTCGTCGCCTCAACCATCGCATCCACTCCATCTTCCCCCAACATGGCCCAATCCTCCAGCATCTATATGACCGCCGTCAACACCCAGTCTGTTGACAGCCTCGCTCGCGAACTTACGGGCGAACAAAGATCTGAGCCCATTGCCATCGATATCGCCACCCTCATTCGCATGATGTCCTCTTTCCAAACGGACATTCGCGCGTCCATCACCAAAATCGAAACCAATATCTCTGGCCTATCCAACCGTGTGACCTCTATCGAGCATCAAACCATGGCAATCACAGTGGTTACGACCATGACACCCACCTCTACGACCATGCCCACATCCACCGCCCTCAAGTCCCAAACCACTACCCCCTCCATCCAGGTGGTCACCACCACCACCCCCACGTCCACAGTCACCTCCAGCCACACCCCCCCGCCGACCTCATCCACTCCAACTACCTCTACCACCACATCCACCACCTCTGCCTCCTCCACCCT